GAGATAGAAACATCAATGAAAGAGAATCATTGATCGGCTGCCTCCTGCACGCTTCCTACTGGGGACGGAGCTCGCAACACAGGCCTGTGCCCTTGACTAGAATTGAACCTGGGACCCTTCAGTCTGCAAGCTGACGCTCTATCCACGGAGCCAAACCAGCCAGGGCCCCTGTTCTCCTTTAATACCCAAATCTGGATTTACCATTCAGTCAACTAACTCTTTCCTGAACTTAAGTCTTTGGCTTAAACCAATTACAGAAACGAGTTCCTCAATGACACGGGTTCCACCCCATCCATCATGAGACTGTAGCACGGGTTCCACCCCTGGGACTGAAGGACTGGGATGAACATTCACTCTATCACAGTTGTCCTCTTGGTTACAACTACCCACATCCCTCCAGAGTGCGTAACTAACTCACCTCCATGACCCTCGCCCCCAAGCCTCACCCAACCACAGCCCTGTCCAAAGACCCGATCTCCTGATCTCTACCAGGTCCAAATCCTGCCACTCCTGACCCAGAGACTATAAACTGGACAGAAAGTTATCTGCCTTCTACATATATCGGCAGGCACCCTACGGGTGACCCCAGTGTCCCCACCTCTTGGCATTCATAGCCTTGTGTTAATCCTCTCTATTCTTAACTTGCTACCAACCAACAGAATATAGCGGCACTGAGGGAATGTCACTTTTGTGATTAAGTCACGGACAATGGTGACTTCTATCTTGCTAGCAGCCTTTCTCTCTCTCAAAAAACCTCCTTAAGTAAAGGGTTGGAGGAGGAGCAGGAGGAGACACTGGGTGGTGATAGAGATGCCTTTGGCCTTGATGTGGTGATGAATTCATGGTTGTGTACTTATCTTCAAATTCCTTCAGTTATACACGTTATGTTCAGCATTTACATGTCAGAGGGAGGCAGTGGATTGGAGGAGGTAGCTGGGAGACAGCCTCCGCTGCTGTGCCGGAGAGGCCGCCACCGTGCGCGGGCCGAGCAGCACTCCCTGGCGTCTCCAGGGACTGAGCTCAGTGGGACCACCAGCAACGGGCTATTCCTGACTAACAGGGGACTCTCCTGGTGGCGACCTTTGCACTGGGCTCCTGACCTACGTAAGTGGCGCATGATAAAATGTTTGTAGTTTGCAAGGTTCTACCTTCTGTACAAACCTCTCCCAAGAACTCCAGACCCACATGTCCAACTGCCTTCAGAACGCCTCCACTTAGATGGCTAAGAGGCATCTTGGATTAAACACGTCCAAACTGACTCTTCATAGGCCGCCCAGCCCCGCCCTTCCCTATCCCAGTTAAGGGCAATTCAACGCTTCCGTTGTGCAGGCCAAACACCTTGCTGTCATCCCTCCTCTCTGGATCACATACTCCATATCCAGCGTAGGAAGTGCCTTTGCCTCTACCTTCAAAATATATCCAGACAGCCTTCCCACCCCCACTGCCACCACTGGTCCCAGCCGCCACCCCCTCTCACCTGGGTCACTGCAAGTCTCCCACAGGTCTTGCTGCTGCTGCCCCAGTTCCTGATCAGCTTACTCAGCTGGTCTACTCCAGGGATCCTACTAACTTGTCTGTCAGAGTACATCCCTCCTCTGCTCAGTTCCGCCAGTGATCCTCCATCTCAGAGTAAACAAAGGCCCCAGTCCACACTCGGACCTGCAAGGCCTCCCACTCCTCCAGGCTCACGTACTCCTCTTCCGCTCAGATGCTCGGCTTCCTCCCAGTTCCCTAAACTGGAAAGGCACGGTCCTGCCTCAGGGCCTTTGCACTGGCCATCCCTCTGTTAGAATACTCCTCCCAGAGGCTCACTCTGTTTCCTCCAGATATTAGTCAAAAGTGAATTCCCGGAGACTATGAATGGTGGTGAATGTTAACTAGATTTACTGTGATAATTTCACACAATGTACAAATATCAAGTCATTATGGTGTAGACCTGAAACCAGTATAATGTCATAAATCAATTAACTTCAATAACAGTAAAAAGCTCATAGAACAGTGGAAAAATAAAATCTTTTCCATAAAAAAAGTGAATCTGTGAGGCCTTCCATTTGACACCACACTAAAGTTCAACCTCAGCCTGTCAGTCTGACGACATAACCCCATTCCCTGCGTTATTTATTGATTTATTTATTGTTGTTAATCCTCACCTGAGGATTTTTTTCCACTGATTTTTAGAGAGAATGGGAGAGGGGATACAGAGAGAGAAAGACATCGATGTGAGACATATCGATTGGTTCCCTCCCACACATGCCCTTCCTGGGGCCTGGGATTGAGCCTGCAACTGAGGTACATGCTCTAGACCAGAATCAAACCCCAGACCCTTCAGTCTGCGGTCAATGCTCTATCCACTGAGCCAAACCGGCTAGGGGCCCTGGTTTATTTTTTTCTATAATTGACATATAACTTTATATTAGTTTCAGATGTACATGATTCTATGTTTTTACATATTTCAAAATGATCACAGTAAGTCTAGTTAACATCGATCACCATACATAATCACAAATTTTTCTAGTAAAAGTAACTTTTAAGATCTTCTCTCTTGCCCCCTAGCTGGTTTGGCTCAGTGGATAGAGCATCAGCCTGCGGACTGAAATGTCCCAGGTTTGATTCCAGTCAAGGGCACCTGCCCAGGTTGTGGGCTCAAGGTGTGTAGGAGGCAGCTGATCAATGATTCTCTCTCATCATTGATGCATTTTTCTCTCTCTCTCTTTTCCTCTCTGAAATCAATAACATATTTTAAGAAAATTTTTTTAAAAAAAGGATCTACTCTCTTAGCAACTGGCAAATTACAATACAGTATTATTAACTACTAGAGGCCCGGTGCACGAAATTCGTGCACTGGGGATGGGTGGGGGTCCCTTAGCCCAGCATGTGCCCTCTTGCAGTCCGGGACCCCTCCCTTGTTACTGCCCACCTGCTTGCTGCTTCCTACCACTCGGCTTGCTGCTCCTTAGTGCTGCCACGAAGGCCTTGGGTCTGCTGGGTGCCGGGCCTGCGGGTTTGTGTCTCTGATACCCCCAGCAGCCCCAGCACCTTGATGGCGGGGCTTGGGGCTGCAGGTCTTTGACACGCAGAACAAAGAACATGGGTACAGGCCTCTCCCTCTGCAGTCGCTGCTGGGTACAGGCCTCCCGCTGCGGAGGGCGGGAGGCCTGTACCAGGGCGCAGGCCAGGCGGCAACCCCGGCCCCCACTGTGGGGTCCAGGGTTGCCCCCTGGCCTGCACCCGGGCCCTCCCGCCCTCCGATCACCATGGGGATCCGTGCAGGCCAGCCGGCAACCCCGGCCCCAGTGGGGTCTGGGGTTGCCACCTGGCCTGCGCCCGGGCCCTCCCGTCCTCCGATCGCCATGGCATCGCTCCTCGCAGGCCAGGCGGCAACCCCGGACCCCGCCAAGGGGATCACTCCGCGCAGGCCAGCCGGGCCCTCCCGCCCTCCGATGCCATGGCGATCCTGGGCGCAGGCCAGCCGGCAACCCCGGCCCCAGTGGGGTCCGGGGTTGCCGCCCGGTTTTCCAATAGCGATCACCGGCTGGGGGGTGGGGGAAGGCGGCCTTTGCCCACCCCCTAGCTCTTATCTGCCGCCTGGGTTGCAGATCACCATTTTTCAGTCCTTCCCCTTTCGCCTCCCGTATGCAAATTAGCCACCATCTTTGTTGGTGGTTAACCGCCATCTTAGTTGGCAGTTGATTTGCATAAGGATATGCTGATTAGCCAATGGGAAGGGTAGCAGTCGTACGCTAATTACCATGTTTCTCTTTTATTAGTGTAGATAGTCACCATGCTGTACATTACATCCTATGCCTTATTTATTTTATAGTTGGAAATTTATACCTTTTAATCCCCTTCACCCATTTCATCCTCCTTTCCCCTCTCCATCAATCTATTCTCTAGTCTATACCCATGGGCTTGTTTTTTCCCTTTTTGTTAAATTCTACATATAAGTGAGATCACACGGTATATAGCTTTCTCTAACTTATTTCATTTAGCATAATGCCCTCAAAGCCCATCCATGTTGTCACAATGGCAAGATTTCCTTCTTTTTATGGCCAAGTAATATTCTAATTTATATATTTAGCATTATCTTCTTTATTCATCCAGCAACCTAGGTTGTTTCCATTACTCGGCTATTGTAACTAATGCTGCAATGAACATGGGGTGCATACCTCTTTTTGAGTTAGTGTTTTCGTTTTATTCTGATAAATACCATGAGTGGAATACTGGTAGCTCTATTTTAATTTTTTGAGCAATCTCCTACTGTTTTCTACAGTGGCTGTACCAGCTGACACCCCCCCAACTGCGCACGAAGGTTCCCTTTTCTCCGCGTCCTCACCAACACTTACTTCTTGTCCTTTTGGTAACAGCCATTCTAGCAGGTGTGAGGTGGTACCTCCCGGGGGTTCGGAAGATGCTGAGCACCTTCCCAGGGACCTTCTGTCTGTCCTCTTTGGAAAAATGTCTGTACAGATCCTCAGCCCTCCTTTATTTTTGTCCTTAGCACATGTCACTCTCTAATACACTATGTTTCCCACTTATTTGTTTACTTCCCCTACTCGAGGGTAAGCTCCAAGATGCGAGCGATTGTCTAACTTGCTTACTGCTGTTCTTGGGGTTAGAACAATGCCGGCACACAGCTCTCACAGCGTGTTTATTCAATCACAGCACTGCTCAGTACAGGTCCCAGCGGTTCTCAACCTGTGGGTCGCGACCCCTTTGGGGGTCGAATGATCCTTTCACAGGGGTCGCCTAAGACCATCGGAAAACACATATATAATTACATATTGTTTTTGTGATTAATCACTATGCTTTACTTATGTTCAATTTGTAACAATGAAATTGGCGGTCACCACAACATGAGGAACTGTATTAAAGGGTCACGGCATTAGGAAGGTTGAGAGCCACTGGGTTACACTATCCCAAACAAAGGGGAAAATGTTACAAAAAAGGGGAAGGGAGGTACAGCTAAGGAAATTCTAACAAACAAGAGCTACAATTATAGCTTTCATTGTCTTCTTTCAGTCATTTATTCAGTTTTCTCACTGCATCCCTGGTGACCATCTGGGCTGTACAGAGGAGGGAAGGCACCAAGCAAAGTCCGCTCATTGCTCACGAGGCTCCTCCCTTGCTCTGGGGTCTCTGCTCTCCTGGAGCCCCAGGAGCACCGCATCCGCCTCCAGTAAAGTCGTGTCTGTGGTCGCTCCCAGGAACCTGGACGTAAGCTCAAGGTCCAGCAGCCGCAGACGGACTCTGGCTCCTATCTGGTATTTCCTAAATAGAAAAAAAAAAAATCCATTAATTCTGCATAAAATGAAAAACTAGTTTATAATACAAATTCTAATTCTGATTTGTATTGGCTTAAGATAAAAAATGAACACCAGTATCTAATAATTTTTGACATAAAAGTAATTTAGTTATGTCAGAATTTTCATCTTAAAGTTGCTTTTAAAGATTCTTATAACCAAAATAAAAATGTTTTCCAAACTGAAATTCAAACAAGTTGGATCTTGAAATTGACATTTCTTTTAATATGTCATCATTCATTTATAAAGTTGGAGAGTATCAAGGTGACAAAAAAGGTTTTCAGATACAATTTTCTTCTAAAATTAAAATCTTCTTTTAAAGGAAATTTTATAAAAGCAAAATTGAAAACAGAATCTAAGTGCAAAGTACTTAATGACGGGGACTGATTGTAATTAAAGAGTAATCCAGTGATAACATGCACGATGGCTCAGTTTGATCAGTAACATGGCCAAGTAATACAGCACCAAATAAAAACTGACACTCATTCACCTTTCTTCCTTGATCAACTATTTTAAGAGTTTAACATCAGCATTACAGAGAGGTATGGGAGAGTGAAAATATCCTAAACAATTAAAAATCACAAATCTTTAAAAATCAAAATATCTACTTCAAATACTTTAAGTAAATTTTAAAATTAATGTAAGTCCACATATGCAGAAAATGAAGAAACAAAGTTCTCCCCAAAGCCACTGGAAAACGATTTTGGCGGAAATATCATGAACACAATGTCTGGCGAGGTATTCTGAAGGAATTTATGAATGGTCCATGAAATAAACACTTAGGCTATTTGACTTGTTATTTTTCTAATTCTAGAAGTTATGTCCGTTTGTAAAGTTTGGAGAACAGTAATTTGGTCGCATTTCCTAGTCTCTCCATAGGGTGTGTGTGTGTGCACATGCGCGCCTGACAGCAGAGATCACATTTTCTGTATATTTTTAAAAATGAAAAAGATGGAGACATCGCTTTATTCTTAGAAAATGACAACTACAGAGTGTACTCCATAGGACGCAGCCCCTGGGGAAGTGAGGTGAGTTCCAGCAAGGTGAAGCCTACGCCGTTTTCCACATCACTGGCTCACGGGACGCTTTCGCTTGTCTTCATAGCACAGGGGTTCGGTTAACCAGCGTTCTTTCATGTGGACCTGCCTTCCCTCCTCCCTGCAACACCCAACGAGTTAGCAAGTTTTACTCATTTCTGGACACAGATATTTCTGCAACTTAGCCCCTCAAGTCCCACAGCGCCTGGCGAAAGCTGAGGTATGACAAGACCTCCCCAGGCTGCCCTGAATGCTGAGGTGGAAATGGCCGAGCCACGCATCGTCCTCCTCTGCCCCTTGGCTCCTGTTGCCGGCACTGCTGGACCTGCCGTCTCTCTGCGTCCTACTGGCTCTTAAACACCAGGCCCATGGCCTCAGACGCCCTCCCGAGAGCCGCGGCACCACGACACGCCTTGTCAGATGAAGGGTCGGCCCTGATGTCCAGGAAGACAGAGGCTCTGCAGTCCTGGACTTGGATGCCAACCCGAGCCCCGCAGCGAGCGTCCTGGCCGGAACCTCGGTCCGCTGCTTTCTCTAAACCACAGCTTCCTCAGGCTACGGGAGACTCGGGCCTCTGCAGGCTGTGGTGGGACTGACGGGACAGCAGACGGGAACGTGCAGCCCGTCAGCCCGAATGCCAGTGGGGCCTCACTGCCTGGACCGGTGGCCTGTGCGCCTCTGGTCTCCCGTTAGACTGCGCGCCCCACAATCTGGCTGTACTGATCCGTGTCCGAGATGCCAAAGCAGCAGGTACTCAGATGTCAAATGAGCAAGACGCTCGCTGATAAGAGCCAGCAGCGGGCGATGGTCTGGAAAGTCTAGTTTCCTGGCTTCGGCAGCTGTGCAGACTGTGTATTCACTCAACCTCTCTGAAACCTGCCTGGCAGAGTGATGGTAAATGCTAGTTCTCTTCTCCTTCTATTGTTCGTAACTGGTCTATTTCTTTTTCCTTATTTTTAGGGGCATTACTCACAGATGGATTACAACCAGCCATGGGGGGGCACAGTGACTGTTAAGCAGAGACGAACGGGTCACAATCACTGGGAAGACCTCTGAGCACAGGAAGCCCTCTGTGCAGATGGGTCTGTCATACAAACGCTGCAGTCCCAGCTCAACAATGAAACAGCAACACCACGAGGGCCAGTGTATTGGTAACTACAAGAGACAAAACTGTCCCCATTTTTTGATGCAGTAGCGATCATAATACGATAGCTTTGCCTTCATCTCTAAAAATTATGGAAATTCTGCAATCTGCTCAGTGAGCCGGTAAAGAAGATGAAAAGCCAAGTGCAGGCCTGCATGTGTGCTGAACGAAGGAAGAGTCACCCAAATGGACAGGAAGCAAAACAAAAGAGTCTACAAGATCCTCTGACTTCTGCTATCGGGAGTACAGCATCCCCCTTTATCTGCAGGGGACACGTTCCAAGACCCCCTGAAACCATGGAGGGTGTGAACCTGAAACGTGCTGTTTCTCTCCAACCCTTACCTGTGATGCTGCTGAATTTATCCATTAGGCACAGTAAGAGGTGAACAATAACTAATAATAAAGTACAATATAGCAATACACTGCAATGCAGGTTAGGTGAGTAGCATTGGGCCATTAGGACGTCAATAAGGGCTACTGAACACCAGGACTGCGATCCCTGGACAGGGATCTGACCCCAGTCGACCCAGCTGGTGGGAGCATCCACAGTGCGAAGGTGCTGGGCACAGGGACAAGCCATGTGCCAGGCGGGATGGAGGGGCGGCAGGGGATTTCATGATGCTACTCAGAACAGTGAGCGACTGAAAACCTAGGAATTGTTTATTTCTGCAATTTTCAGTTTAATGTTTTTGGACCAAGGTTGAGTGTGGGTAACGGCGGGGGACGGGGGAGGGGTTGTCACTGTAGCGGATTTACTGTCATGGCGCCAGATTGTTACCTGTGTCACAGTTACTCCGATGTAAGCGTTACCTTCCCTCTCGGCCTGCGAGCGGTGAGGCAGGGAAGTGCTCACGGCTGTCTCCCACAGGAGGCGATGCACACATCTCACCTCCTGGAGCCCTCTGAACAGTGGTGGCCACACTTCCCATCACATCCGAGGCACCTGGGGTGCTTGCTTAAAATGCAAATGGAGGGGAGCAACCCGAGAATGACCTGGCGAGCGGGGGTGGGACCTGGGAATCCCAGCCCCCCATGATTCCGATGCTGTCTGCTCTGTCACCTTCCCTGTGACAGTCCTGCAGGAGGGCAGACAGCCCACCCAAAGGGCCAGCAAGACGAGGACCGAGGACAGAACTCTGTGGCCCATTAACCACCTTCCAGGTTAACAGATGTTCTCCCTAAGTCAGCGGTTCTCAACCCTCTGGCCCTTTAAATACAGTTCCTCATGTTGTGACCCAACCATAAAATTATTTTCGTTGCTACTTCATAACTGTAATGTTGCTACTGTTATGAATCGTAATGTAAATATCTGATATGCAGGATGGTCTTAGGCGACCCCTGTGAAAGGGTCGTTCAACCGCCAAAGGGGTTGCGACCCACAGGTTGAGAACCGCTACCCTAAGTGATGACAGAGTCTTGTAGGGTCAGTAATTTAGACAAAAAAAGTCAGGCAATGACCACACGAATTGGAGGAGTGCACCTGGAGTCCCTTCGAGAAAGGCCTGGCAGCCTGTCGCTCTGGGAAATGTTCTCCCTCAAAGGAACGGCAGCCGTTCAGGGGAATTTACCCGTCTTTCACTGCGAAACTCTTTATTAAAGGGGAAGAAAGAAGTCATGTATTTCTGAGAACTCCATTTCTGCCCATGTAATTCAAAAAATTTTTTCTGATTGACTTTTAGAGAGAACGAGGAAGGGGGAGAGGGAGAGGGAGAGGGAGAGGAGAGAAACATCCATCTGCTGTTCCACTGATTTATGATTCATTGGTTGCTTCTGACCTGGGATGGAACCTGTACCTTGTGTATTGGGCTGGTGCTCTAACCACTGGCCAGGCTCTGCCATTGCAATCCGAGGTGAGCTTCCAGGACTGCAGTCTGAACCCCGATACTACAGAGTCTCCCCAGCTGGGCTTCCACTGTTCCACAGACAAGATTAAAGTGCAGATGCCAGGAAACTTCCCAGATTGCTTGTGCAGTCTATACACGGTCACTTTATTCCAAAGATGTTGGCCTGAGTATGAACAGCCGGAAGAGGCCGTGCAGAGCTTAAAAACGAGGGCTCTGGAACCAGTGGATGAGGCACGTCCAGGCCTTTCACTTACCGACATGTGACTCTGGGCTAGTTCCTCTGTCCCTGCTCCGTTCCCCCATCTGTAACACAGTTACTAATTATGCCTACCCCCCAGGCTCCTGTGAGCACGAAATGAGTGACTACATGTGAAACCCTTATAAATGCTCAATAAATGTTAGCTATCATCACCAACGCCACCAGCACCATCCTCATCATCACCGTCCCCACCATGGAAACAAGCACAGTGACCCTGGCACCGAGGCGGAGTGAGGGAGAAAACAGGGCACTCCCAGCTAGAATTCCAAGTTATAATTAAATCAATAAAGAATCCTGTAGGACTCAGAGAACCAAGATGGCGGCATAGGTAAACACTGGAGTTTGCTGCCTCGCACAACCACTTCAAAAATACAACTAAAAGACGGAAAGGACATCATCCAGAACCACAGGAAGGCTGGCTGAGTGGAAATTCTACAACTAGAAGGAAAGAGAAAAGCATACCGAGACTCAGAGGAGGAGCAGTGCTGAAGTAAAATACTAAGGTGCGGAGTGCATGCAGAACGGGCTGGCGGCTGAGGGCGCGGTTGTCGTTTTCAATTGGGAGGGAGTCTCTAGGGACCCAGACTCATAAGTGAGAAGCGGGACTGTCTGGCATCGGTCAGAACCCGAGGGCAGCTTTCTCTCCGAGGGGCTTGCAGCGATTACCCAGACACTGAGAAGCAA